TCTAGGTGAAATGTTAAGTTTTTCTTGGATTGTGAAGTGATTGTAGGCTCTCCTTGACTCGCTTGAAGTTTTCCATGGCCTACCAAAGTTGTTATCCCTAGTCAACCCATTTTAGCCTAAAACCTTTCTCATTTGATAACCATGTTACAAGCCTTTACCCATATTTTCGTGACCCTCTCTTGGCACCCGAGATTTCCTTAACACTCTTGTGAAATAATTGGCTAAAAACGTAAGTTTAAGGGAGAGACTAGGAACTTGAAAGAGGTATCAAGGCACAAAAAGAGAAAATAAATGATGAGAAGAAAAGGCAAGAAAAAAGAACAAAAAAAAAATGCAAAAAGAAGTGAATAAGGTAAAGAGTTGAAGGGATTCAAAGAAAAGTACTGAGGAAAAGCATGGAGAAATCCTTGAAGGAGAAAATGAATATCATGATCAATAAAGAATGATGTTAAGTCTCTCTAGTTCCCCCTAAGGAAAAGAAAATGCCTCAAAGAATTGGCAAAGCATGAGCCAAGAAAAGAAAATGGAGTGCTTAAGGAAAAATGACTCTGTTCTATCATAGCATATCCAACCTTAGTCCAAACTCCTTCATTGCATTTTGAAAAAGTCCTACGTGATTTCAAGCCGAGTGAGCTTACATTAGTGGTGATCTGCATGAGGGGCAAGCCTATGGTACTTAAAGCCGTACTTGCGACATTCTTTTGAGAGAGATAAGTGAACCTTTCGCAAATCTTTGGATTGAGTGCTAAATTCTTAAGTGAGATAGGAAAACGAAGAGTAGAGGAGGAGTTTTGGGATCCACAATGACCTACATAAAAGAGCGAGCTTCCTTGATGAATAAAGGCAATTCTTGATGCTCAAGTGTCACATTAGAACTATTTGTGCTTAAAAGTTTAACTTGTTGCTTTGTTGATAATTCGTAAGTGGTGTGGATAATTTTTGGTCCCAATTGATGTGTGAATGATTCACTTTGCTTTGCTGGAATGGCTCTTAACTTGTCGAGGTGGGAACCACTTTATTTGCTTGAGGACAAGCAAAAGCTTAAGTTTGGAGGAGCTGATAAGTGGAGAGTTTGACTACTTATTAGAGCCTTTTAGCTTTCATTTTAGTCCAAAAGTGTTTAATTGTGTTCCTGAAAACTAATGAAATGTGCTTAACTGCAGGAATATTGGAAGATGAACTCCCGAAATGAAATCCAACCCAAGAAGGAGTAATCTGAACTTAAAGACATAAAAGGCACAGAAACTCAGAAGTGCGGACAACAGAATTCCATCTGCGGCCGCAGGTTATGAAGGAAAATCCATCAGAGACTGGTGCAAAGTGCGGTCCGCACATGAATTGTGCGGCCGCAGAAACTGGGTCTGGAGCAAAGTTCAGAGAATCTGTATTTCAAGTCCATCAAAAGTGCAGACAAGACGAGCTATGCTGCCACAGTTACAATTGTGCGGACCGTAGAAGAGCAAGATGCGGCCGCAGTTATAAATCTGCGGACCATAGAAAGAGTGCAGTGCAGCCACAGTTCAGAATTATGGACGAAGACTTCCAATCCTATATAAATATACAAGTTTCACATTTTTAGGTTAACTTTTGACATCAGATGCTACAGTAACCGTTTCCTTTTACTCTTTTTAATTATTTTTCATATTTTGAGCTATCTGAACATAGATTTAATCATTTTAATTAGCAATATGAGCTTAATTATCACTTTTTCTTCTTTTTCTTCTATTTCAAGCATGAGTGGCTAGATTTTCACTAGGGTTGTGACCCAACCCTAGTGTATAAACTTAATGGGTATTTAATTTAATGCTTGTTTATGGTTGGGTGTTTATTATTTAGCTCTGTTCTTGCTTTTATTTGTGAAATTAATGGTTGCAAACATTAGTTCATGCTTATTTGACTTGGTCTCTATTTGAGAAAGAGAGACTTAGTCTAGAAAAACTTGGCTAACAAGAAATTGGGTCAATCGAGAGATTGACAATCCTAATTAAAGGGTTGAACCTAGATATAGTAACAACCCGACTTGAGGTTTTTGTCAACCGTTTTGTTCAATACCCATTTGGACTTGAGAAAGCCAAATTGGACAAAATCACTCTTTGACTGAGAGGTATTGAGTGGCTAATTGAGTGTTGATAGCTATTTATATACCATTAGTCAAACACCTAGGTGAAGGTCATAGCCCTAGATCATTTTATAACATTTGAAAAACAACAAAAACAATTTCATAGTTTTATTTCTTAAATTGCAATCGTTGTTTAATTTAGACTTTAAAACAACCTAATTCTGTGGAAGTGCAATTGTATATATACAAACTCATGTGCTACGATATATACTACTAACTCCCATACATATATCTCCCTTCGAAATTCGACCCCGACTCTTGTTGAGTATTATTATTGGATCGACCGTTTTCATAACCTCGAATTGAGGTGTGAACTTGGACGAGATTAGTCGGCGGTAGTGGTCTGATGATATCCATTCCCTACTTTATGAACGGCCATGGAGAAAGAACTGAATGTAATGGTTCTGCTAGTTGATGTACCAGTGGGGCGTAACTTGGCACTTATCGCATTTTTGCATGAAAACTTTAGCGTTTTGTTCCATTCGGGGCCGATTATATCCTGCCCTTACCAGTTGTAGTACTAAGGAATCTACACCCGAATGATTTCCATATATCCCTTCGTGGACTTCTCGCATAACATAATTAGCTCTGGATACTCCCAAGCATCGGGCCAGCGGGCCTTGGAAAGATTTCCTGTACAATTGAACTCCTTTGAAGCTATATCATGTTGCTTTGGCGCGCAGCGCCCGGGACACCTTGGAGTCTTCGGGAAACTTCTCATGCTCGAGATAATCGATGATCTCATTCCTCCAGTCCTAGACCAAATTAGTCATATTTACCTCATAGTAGCTATCTGTGTCCAGAATCGAGTGCATGAGCTATACCACCATCCCGGAATCCGATCCCTTCATTTCCATTGATGAACCGAGGTTAGCTAATGCATCTACTTCTGCATTTTCTTCCCTTGGGATATTAGTAATCGACCACTCCCAGAATCGAGCTAGCAGAGCTTGAACCTTCACTATGTATTATTGCATGCACTCCTATTTGGTTTCGAAGATCCCGTAGACCTGATTTACCATCAGCTGGTAGTTGTATTTGATTTCTATGACCTCATAATCTAGTCCCCGGGCCAGTTCGAGTCTTGCAATCAAAGCTTCATACCCTGCTTCGTTGTTAGTTAAAGGGACCGTTCTTATGGCTTGCTTGAAGGGTTTCTCATGAAGGCGTGGTTAATATTATGCCAATCCCGGGCCCCTTTACGTTGGAAGCTCTGTTCGTAAATAAGGTCCGAACTCCCTATGTCGATTCTGACGCCATCACTGCTTCTTTGGTTGCTATAGGCAACAATCCCGGACTGAAATCGGCCACAAAATTGGCCAAAACTTATTACTTAATCACAGTCCTCAGTTTATACTCTATGTCGAATTCACTCATTTCGACGGCCTATTTGGCCAATCTACCCGAGGGTTCAGGTTTGTGAAGGATATTCCGTAGGGGAACGGTGGGCACCACAGCTATCAGGTGACATTGGAAGTAAGGTCTCAACTTTTGAGCAACGACTACGAGAGCTAAGGCCAGCTTTTCCAAATGCGAGTAATGAGTTTCTGCTCCTGTTAAAATTTTACTAACATAATAAGTGGGAGATTGCGTACCTTCATCCTTACAGACTAAAACGGCGCTTACCGCTACCTCCGAGACTACTAGGTAAACTAACAGTGTTTCACATTCCTTTGGTTTTGATAGTAATGGAGGGCTTGACAAGTACTTTTTCAAATCTCTCAAAGCCTGCTGGCATTCCGGGGACCATTCAAAGTTGTTTTTTTAGTAGCGCGAAGAAACGGTGGCATTTCCCTGATGATCAGTAAATAAACCTGCTCAAATCGGCCAATCTCCCTGTGAGCCTTTAAGCTTCTTTCACGCTTGACAGTTGGTCCGAGATATCTTCGATGGCTTTGATCTTATCGGGGTTTACCTCAATCCCCCTTTATGATACCAGAAATCCTAGGAACTTGCCGGAGCTGACCCCAAATGTGCATTTCTTGAGGTTAAGCTTTATGTTGTGCTTCCTTAGGATGTCAAAAGTTTCTTGCAAATGCTTAAGGTGATCACTTGCGTTCAAATACTTAACAAGCATATCGTCTATATAAACTTCCATGGTTTTCCTTATCTGTTTTTCAAACATCTTATGTACGAGCCGTTGATAAGTGGCTCTGGCATTCTTTAGCACGAAGGGCATCATATTGTAGCAATATGTGCTGAAATTCGTTATGGATGAAGTCTTTTCCTGATCCTCCGGGTTCATCTTAATTTGGTTGTACTTGGAATAGGCATCGAGGAAACTCATTAACTCGTGCTAGCCCATTGCATCAATCATTTGATCAAAGTTTGGCAGTAGGAACGAGTCTTTTTGGTACAACTTATTCAAGTCCTTATAATCTACGCACATTCCAAATTTATTATTTTTCTTAGGAACTACTACTATATTAGCTAGCCAGTCTGGAAACTTTACCTCTCGGATCGAACTGATATCAAATGTGCGAGTTACCTCTTCTTTGATGAATTTATTCCTGGCCTCCGCAATATGGCATTTCTTTTGCCTTATCGGAGGGATGTTGGGATCCAAGCTTAACTTGTGCACAGCCACTTCCGTTGGGATACCTGTCATATCCGCATACGACCACGCAAAACAATCTGTATTATACTTAAGAAATTCAATAAAGCTAGACCTGAGCCCGGGGTGCAGTCCTGTCCCCAAGTGGAATTTACTCTCCAAGAACTTTTCAAACAATGCAACTTGATCGAGCTCTTCCGATGTGGAATTTATTGCTTCCGTCTCTTCTAGTACCTACAAGTATCTTGGGACATGATAAGATTTTGACGCTTCTCCTCCCTGGTTAACTTCACTTGATTCGAGAGTCGGCACTGATTCCTGTAATTGCTAGGCCGAAAGCTCCTTCCCTTTGCTACTGGAGACTAAAATCGAATTCATCTCTGTTGCTGCCGGTTGGTCGCCTTTTATCTGTTTAATTCCTTCGAGAGTTGGGAATTTCAGCAACTGATGATATGTTGATGGTACGGCTCTCATCTTGCGCAACCACGATTTTCCCAGAATAATGTTATAACCCATATCACCATCTACAAATTCGAAAAGAGTCATCTTCATCACCCATTCGACATTCATGGGTAGTAGGATCTCTCCTTGGGTTGTCAAGCTTGCGAGGTTGAATCCGGCGACGAGTTTTGTGGCCGGAATGTTATTTCTAGTAAGTTTGGCTTGCTCCAACACCCTCCAATATATGATATTGTCCGAACTACCAGGATCCACCAAAACACGTTTGATTTTAAAATCTAGTACATTTAAAAAAATTACCAATGCGTCATTGTACGGTAGCAACAGTCCGTCTGTGTCCTCCTCTGTGAAAGTGATGTCGTTTTCAGCGACTTCCCCGAGTCTCTTGCTATGGATTGCTGACACCTTCATCTTCTTTGCTGCCGATAAGGTAACTCTATTGATCTCGTTCCCCCCGAAGATCATGTTGATCATCTGGCGGGAGGGGGGGGTCTTCTCCTATTTTTGAGTTCTCTGTGTTATCACAGTTGCGATCGTAATTGTTCTTGGCCCGGTCACTTAAGAATTCCCTGAGATAGCCATATTTCAGTAGTGTCACCACCTCTTCATGCAGATGTCGGCAGTATCCAGTCCGGTGGCCATTCATCCCATGGTATTGGCACCACAAATTGGGATCTCTCTACTGGTATCAGACCGCATCGGCTTCGGGAAGCGTGCTTCTTTAATATTCCTCATAGCCGATACCAACTCTACTACACTAACATTGAAGTTGTATTCTGATAGCCTGGGGTAGGAAGGATCTCGTGTACCTGACGCTTCTTTGTCCTGCAATGACCTATTGTTCCGACCGCGATCAGTTCTTCTGTCGGTAACGAACCTGTCTGTCAACCGGAAACCTGTTCCGCGTCCTTTGGCCTGTTCGTAGGACAAAACCCGGCCCCTCGAAGACTCTCTATATGTGTCAAAATCATCTTTTGATTTTTCTTTATTCTTCTCCCGACCTTTTGCCGATGCCGGGAAGCCAATCTAATCATCTTCAATCCTTATCTTAGAAAGCTTTCCATCTATTTCCAGGAAGCATCAGAACTTCTCGGATTCAGACCCTTGGTGAATGATTCAGCCGCCCATTCATCCGGAACATTCGGGAGCAACATCCTCTCCTTTTGGAATCGTTGATCATTTGATCAACGACTGGGATTTAGATGACCCGGGTCGGGTGTAACGGGCCGTGGTATTGGGTTGAAGTTTAGGGTGTGGAATGGTGAAGTGGGTCCGAAATTTGGCCTTTTTTGGGCCAGATTCTAAATACAAGAAATTAAGGGGAAAATAATTTAATAAAATAGATAAATAAATATAAAAAATACTATTTATGAGACTTAATACTTTAAAATAATAGTTGAAGATTATAAAAATATAAAAAACTATTTTGACCCTGAATAAAAATGACAAATGCAATTAATTGTAAAGTATATGCTATTATTGCAAAAGAATGCGTGAACAGTTCAAAAATACAGATGTAATTTTATAAAATGAAGTAGAATGTTGTAAAGCATATATGGTGTAAACACTAAATTCGGATGAAAGTTTTCACAAAATAATTTGAAGGAATAATTAATAAATATTTGAATAATTTAAATGCAAGAAAATCAATTTTAAAGTCTTAAAAATGATGAAAAATTATAGAAAGTACTTATATGACTCTTGTAAATTGGTGATGATACAGGAATGATATTTTCAAAGTATATAAGATATTTATAAAAATATGAGGGCAAAATTAGGTATCAACAACTGCCCTTCTTTACTCGGGAATGATGAAAGAGTTACCGGGTGAAGAAAGTGATGACCAATTTTGTCCGAAATGAGTGAGGATGATGTGTTTTTGAAAAGTGGGGGCCGAACCCTGGTTCTTGAGTTGCCTACATATCCCTGGTATTATGAGAATCAGGTCGTGTGTAGTTCTGGATCCAACGACGAACTAAACCAATGGAGTTTTTATAAGAGTAGTCATGTGTTTCGAAAAGGATTTTTTGGATATGATAGTGTCGGATAATTTTAGGTGGATCTATGAATGCAAATTTGAACGTTACAGATTTATAAGGCAAGTATTTGAGCGGTTACGGGACAACGGGTAATCAATTGCTGATCATGGATTACGTTTGAGATGAGCGAAGGATGTGAACATTGTGAAAAGAAACCGGAGCGAGAATTACTCCTGTTTGTAGAACGGTTATCTCCCGAGTTACCTGCCAAACTTAAAACACGATGCGCGCGAATATATATGGGTTATTGTGAAAATTTAAACATGATGCAAATTCCTTCAGACCATGAGGGTTGTCTTTTGATGATGTCCTTAGACCATGAGTTTCTGGGCTACGAAGCATATGATAAGGGATTCGCAGGCCATGAAATGGTGTCCTCGGGCCATGAGGATGGTGTCTCTGGACTATGACGCCTTTGAATAATGATATGCAATTTCGAGAGATCATCCGGCCATGGCATGATATCTTCGGGCTATGAGGATGATACCCTCAAACTATGACACCTTTGGATAATGTGGCGATGTTTCAGCCCGTAAAATGCAAAGATGTGTAAATATCGATCGTTTGATATAGGGAACATCTAATGCTTAGTTGTGTACAAGAACAAGACAAGGTGGCACTTAGTATTGTGTGTGATGAGGGTAGTGTTAATCCTTATGCAGATGAAGGTAAAGTTTACCATTATGCAATAATGGAGGCAGAGCTTAGACTCGTATAATGTAATGGAGACGGTGCTTAGTCGCATGTAAGGAAAGGCAGTGCTTAGCCTTATACAATGGTGGAGGTAGTGCGTAGCCTTATACAAGAGAAGGCAATGCTTAGCTTTATGCAATAATATAGGCAAAGCTTAGCCTCGCATAATGTAATGGAGACAGTGCTTAGTCTCATACAAGGAAAGTCAGTGCTTAGCCTTATACAATGGTGGAGGCAATGCTTAACCTCATGGAAGGGAAGGCAGTGCTTAGCCTTATGCAGTAATGGAGGCAGTGCTTAGCCTCATGCAAAGAATGGAGACAGTGCTTAGTCTCATGCAAGGGAAGGCAGTGCTTAGCCTTATGCAATAATGGAGGTAGTGCTTAGACTCATGCAAAGAATAGAGACAGTGCTTAGTCTCATGCAAGGAAAGGCAATGCTTAGCCTTATGTAATGGTGAGGGCAGTGTTTAGCCCAATGCAAGGAATGGAGACAATGCTTAGTCTCATGCAAGGAAAGGCAATGCTTAGCCTTATGTAATGGTGAGGGCAGTGTTTAGCCCAATGCAAGGAATGGAGACAATGCTTAGTCTCATGCAAGGAAAGACAATGCTTAGCCTGGTGCAATGATGAGGGCAGTCTTTAGACCTATGGGGGAAGAGCAATGATTAAATGTGAGAGGAAAAATGATTCTTAGCTTGACACGTTTGTTCTTGGCGACTTCTGTTGGTGTGAAGATAGTGATCTTATTGTATGTATATATTTGCGAACGTGCTTGTTATGTCCATTGTGCCTGCATCCAAAGAAAAACCGTGAGTTGTGGGGGGAAAAGTTGGTTTGTGCCTTTGATTATTTAGCTTGCCTTTGCTCATTTTCTTGCTGCCTTGTTCGAGTCAACCTGGATAGCATCTGGCTATTACAGAAAATGAAATTTTTGAAACATGCATTTGTGACATATCATTTATTTAAAAATGTAGTTGTTCAAAATATGTGATAATGCATAAAACAAACAAATTTTGAATCGGAGACTGTGACGCGCTTCCATACATTGCAACCTCCTCAACTAGGAATTTTGAAGACCCTCCTCAAAATACTGCCCTAGTTTATATACCTACTTATGGCAATACTTTTCTTGGTGATCCTTGACATAATGAGATCTGAAAAACTCAAAATCTTGCCCCAGTTTCTGACCATAGAGGAGAAGGAAGATTTTATTATGATGTGACTGAACCCACAGGTTTTCTTACGTATTTCCTCTTAAACGGGAATCAGGTCAAGCGTAGTTCAGGTTACATCAAATAGAAAGTGCAAACATAATCTTAAACATAATATCTATGGACTACGTATGAGTTAATAAGTTTTGGCCATATCTCTCCATCCATCTCTGCAAGTATAATGCTCCTCCTGTCAGTACTCGGTGAACCATGTAAGGGCCTTGCCAGTTAGGTGAGAATTTCCCTTTTGTTTCATCCTGATGCGGGAAGATCCGTTTCAGCACCAATTGCCCCGGTGTGAATTGCCTCGATCTAATATTTTTGTTGAAAGCCCTTGCCATTCCATTCTGGTAGAGTTGACCGTGACACACTGCGTTCATTCTCTTACCATCAATGAGAGCAAGTTGTTCATACCGGCTTGGTATCCATTCCACGTCGTTGAGCTCGGCCTCTTGTATGATTCTTAAAGAGGGAATCTCCACTTCGTCGGGAATAACAACTTCAGTACCGTAGACCAGTAGATAGGGGGTTGCCCCAGTAGACGTACAAACTGGGGTGCGGTACCCGAGTAAGGCAAATGGTTGCTTTTCATGCCATTGCTTGTTGTTGTCCACCATTTTCCTCAATATCTTCTTGATGTTCTTGTTGGCGGCTTCTACGGCTCTATTCATCTGTGGCCTATATGTTGTAGAATTTTGATGCTTGATCTTGAATGTTTCACACATAGCTTTCATTAGATCACTGTTAAAATTGGCAGCATTGTCGGTAATGATTGACTCAGGTACTCCAAATCGACAAACAATACGATTTCGGATAGAATCTCCTACGATTCTTTGTCACAGCCTTATAGGAAGCAGCTTCGACCCATTTTGTGAAGTAGTCTATAGCCACCAAAATAAACCTGTGTCTGTTTGAAGCAGCGGGTTCAATTGGTCTGATGACATCCATGCCCCGAGAAGAGAAAGGCCAGGGTGAACTCATTGCATTGAGTTTGTTGGGCGGCACTCGTATCATATCGGCATGTATCTGGCATTGGTGACACTTTTGAACATATTTGATGTAGTTTGTCTCCATGGTCACCCAGAAATACCCTGCTCTTAATATCTTCATGGCCAAAATGAAACCATTCATGTGAGGTCCGCAAGTTTCAGCATGTATTTCTTCGATCAATCTAGATGCTTCCTTGGCATCGACACATCGCGACAATCCCAAATCAGGAGTCCTTCGATATAGAATTCCTCCACTCTGAAAGAAATGGTTGGCCAATCTTCGAAGTGTGCGCTTCTGAGTGTGTGTAGCATTCTATGGGTATTCTCTTTTCTCCAAGTATTCCTTGATATCGTGGAACCATGGATTTCCGTCAAACTCTTCTTCAACATGAGCACAATAAGCTGCCTGCTTACGAATTTCTATTAGGATATGATCGATGAAATTCTTATCTGGATGTTGTATCATGGAAGACAAGGTGGCTAATGCATCTGCGAACTCATTCTGAATCCTTGGAACATGTTTGAATTCTA